CACAGGGTTTCAACAGAAAATTAGGATTGAGAGGACAATCTGTGGCATACAATATGGAGAACAAGCAGACACTAGCCCACAAAGACCCTTACTGAACAGCATGAGGCCCCTGGAACATTCACTGCCTGTGAAGCAAAGTCTAGATTATAAAGCAATCTGCACGTTTTAGAGTAAAAAATACCTTAAACTTACAATGGAGGTCTCAGAGAAGACTACAGAGCTGTGACAGCCTGGGGCCTTCTTGAAGGCGGGAGGCAGAGGACACATTTGGGGGTGTACACCTCTCACTGTAATCTTACATCATCCAGCTTGTCTACTGACAATCTTTATTTCAGCTGCATCCTTACAGGAAGCAAAGTACTTGGATTATGTAGTTAAAGTGAGAGGCAGTCATTAATCTACTGTCATACAAACAAGGGATGTTATTATCCTCATGTTAAAGTAAATGTTCAACAGAGACAGCCTCCTAACAAGGATATTGCTACTAAAACTCCACACAACTCAGCTCCTGCTGTTGTGATGCAATATTCCCAGCAAACACTGGCCAAATAAAAGGCTCTTTCTCTAAGCCCCTACCTGAGGCTGTTGATGGTAGCTTCACAAAATTAATAGTAAAAGCAGAATTCTTCCTCCTCTTTGCCTATAAAGACAGCTGGGCACCAAAGTCTGATCTGCACATAACATGTGCAAATCAGTACAACTTGCGCATCCGATCTGCATGCAAAGCTTCCACACACACAAGTGGCTCCTGCTGTCACATCACACTGTAGATACTTCCTGTGAATAGGAGTCTCTCCTCTACCCTGCAGAGCCTCATGGGAGAGCTTCCAGAGCACCTTTTCAGATTCCAAAAAAATCACAAACAGGTCAGCTCACTTCTTAAATTATCCAAATCTCATAGGCCTTCATGCAGCAGCTGACTGCTCCCCAAGTAAGCATTGTAATGACATAGCAAATTCCATTACTAAAAAGTCTGTGTGTGGCAAATACAAGTGAACACGTTTTCTTCTTGTTTTCCATGTTAAGTATTCTAAGCAGAGACAATGTGATCCCATATATTGCATTCTCAATTTTCATACTAAATTACATGATATCTTTTCCAGAAAGAGTCCCAGTATTTGCCATACATGATGAGCACATGGATTGGATAACAGCAACATACTTTAAGAAGAATAAAGCAATAGCAGGTAAACAAAATTCTGAAGCTAAGGGGAATTTATTTTCAGAGAATTAGGATTCACCAAAATGGGAGCATTAGGCCTCAGACAATTGCATGTGACACTAGATTGGTAGCTGTTGTTCACTGCATGCCTGTCAGAAGAATTCAGTTATATCCCCAGCTGGAATATTAGCCAGGCTTTAGCAAAGGAAGACATGACAGTGTTTGTTACTGCAGGGAATCCCTGTACTTCCACATACTTGGGTAAGAGTCAGAAATATCAGGATCTCTGCAAAGATACAGAAGAAAAAGAATAAGATTTACTTTGATGAGCATACTTCTAGAGATGGAACTAGAATTAGAGACATTCAAGCCTCTTCACTCTAACCAAATCCAGGGTGTGGGGCAGTTCACTATATGACTCACCCCTTTAGATCTTTATCCCATGTTCTAGTAAGATGAGAGCCTTGCTTCTAAACCCAATTAAACTCTAGGTTTACAGTTGACTTTAACTGAGAGTACACGCAAAGTGATTTTCAGAGGCCTCTAACATAATCCTTCAAAATCTCCACCTTCAACATCTACTTGCTATCTGAGGTGCACTTTTCCTATGACCTCCAGTGAGAGCATTTAATTGCATTTTTCACCCATAACCCTATTTTCAAGGCAAGGCAAACAATAAATGGCATTAGGGAAAATTTATCTTCTACTTTCTTCTCTTATTCTACCTGCTATTCAAAACAAAATTGAAAGGAACACTGGCTCTAGGCTCTTCTGAAACTCTTACCCTCCCTTAAGGGAATAACAGTCCATCAACCAAGAACCTATAACATCTTCCCACTGATAGAGCCATTGAATAACCAAAATCTAATAAAATATTCCACTTTAAGCCTGTACAAACCCCTCTTAAGTAGGGTTCAAGAAGAAAATTCTGTTCAGATCACTCCCTTCTCCAAAAGAGGCAAATGGGCAGAAGAGAAAGAGGGGAAGGATCACTTGAGCTGCCCACGCAAGTCTCTACTTGCTTGCTTTTAGCAAGCCTGCATGAAGCCAAAACCTTAACAGACAAGACATGATTAGCAAATGCTTTGTGCTCTTAAAGGAGAGTAATTATAGGCATGTGAAAAAAGGAAGAGATCCCTGAGGTACTCTTCCTTGCATGCCTCCCAAGAGGCAGCAGGGCCATTAAAAATTCCATGATGAAGAGGAAAAAACAGCCTGGGAACAGCCAGGAGGCAATACAGCAAATTAATACACCAGCCGTCCCTCGGGAGGGCTGCAAGAAAGCAGGAAACTCTCCTCACTTCACAAAATAAAATTATACCACTAATGATAACAGTCACAACACACACAAAACGGCTTCTAATGATGGGTGTGAAATTCCCAATGCTGTGCATACACTTTGAATGAAATTTCATCACAGACATTAAGCAAGAAAGGTAATCTTGGTAGTGTACAATTTATACAGCCTCTCAAATAAGACTTCCCAAAGAACCCTCCACATAGGCCTTTCAGTGTCAAAGAGGAGGTTCTTGAACACCCCCAACTGTGCTCAGTATTCTAGCCTTCAGCTCTGCTTAAACAAAGCACTGGGTTACAAGTCTTCCAGATGAACTGCACCAAAATTTGCCATTGAGACAAAGAAAACATTTCCATGGGAGAGAGAAGACTCCACCTGCCTTTGAGTTAGCAGAAACTAAGCAGAGAGAGGTAATTTTGCATGGCATGGTAGAGGCAGCAGGTTGAAGAAATAAGATGCCCAAACCATCAAGAGTTTCTTCTCTAATACATTTCATATCATTTTCAAGGGCTTAACTCCCCCCAACAAACCATTTTATGACTAATTTCTGAGCAGAGTTTCTCCATGATGAGGTGCAAGCTGTTAGGAGCTTACCAAAGCACAAACTACTGGAACTAACTCCATCCTTGGCAAAAGAAGATGATGTTAACTGGGGCAATTGCTGGACAGTGCTTACAGAGACCACTTGAACCTCCTGTAAGAAATGGACTGTTAATAGGCTTGTCTCTTGAAGCACCTGAAGACCAACTATTGTCACAAAAATGTTTTCTGTGAAGGAACAATTTCCTTCTGTGCCCTTGACAGCATCTTTACCCTTGACAGCATCTTTACCCTTGACAGCAAGTACCATGTACCAAAAAGTTCAATCCTTGCCACACAGATGGGGCTACATAATGTTCATTCTTCCCACATTTCTTTCTCGTATAAAGATTCTTGAGCACATTTCACATGAAAACAGGAACTAGTATCTCAAAATACAGGCACTCAAAACCACACCTGCCTCTGGGATGGGACAACTTCTCTGCCAATATTCTGTAACAATTCGTCAGGGATTAGTAAGGCCAGCGCTCAGCTGCTCATTTGAGAAAGGAACTAAGCATATATTCATTGGTTAGCTAGACTACATATTCAGCCAAAACAAGCAATCATGATTCCTCCAGGTTTAGAAATCACTTGCCATGGCCCTTCCAAAGCTACTGGTTATTTGCTGATGATCATAAAGGTACAGACTTCACCCTGTTTAATTTGTGACCAGGATTTGTCTAGCTCTTCTTTCTAGAAAACAAACCTCTGTAGAGCACCAAGTAAAACACTAAAGGCTTTAGAAAGGTTATCTTAGCTGTAAGTGAAGACGCCGATCTTCTTGCTTCACAGGCACAAAACATCCCCAGAGCACAGCAAAAGCCCCAAAAGCAACCAATTTGCTGATGCACAATCTTCTGAATTCCTTTTATTCTCATCCAGTTGAATGTGTACGAGCGGATTTCTTCCTCCCTCCCCCTTTCCAGCTTTAACATGCTGGCTACAGCAGCATGAGGTCATGGTGCGACATCACAAAACTCCCTGCAGAAGCCAGTGGGAGGAGAGGCTTTGCTGGGTGGGTGCCAAGCTTCCGTTCAGACACATACAACCTCAGTACATTTTTCATGCTCTATTTGCTAATTAACACGAAAAAGAAAGCCATGAAGCTGAAAGTCCAGACGTTTCTTTCAGATTTGGTCCTTCATGCAAGCACATAACTAGAACTGTCCCCCAGCCAAGGCTTTGCCTCCTTGCATGGGAAAGAGCTCAAGGGCACCTTACCTTTAGCCAGTCACCTGCAGCACAAGAACAGGAGTCACCTCCAAGGCCAACACTTGAATTTAATTCAGGTTTAGTCAGCAGAAGGCACCTGAATAGCATATTAACCCCAACTATGCAGACTCAAATATAGCTCAGTATTTGGCCAGGCAAGATCTAAATTTCAGCAGTAGAGAGAGATACCAAGCCATCAGAGGTCACCTCAGGTGAGATCTGAGTCTGCCTAGAGGGTCTATTTTAGGCACCCAGAATACCAAAATGCCTCAACATGTCACCCACACAAGCTTGTCAGCACTTTGCGTCTCATCTTGTTCTGATTTTAATAGTGGGCAACAATACTGTGCCCATTTGTAGCTATACAACAGTTCTGCAGCAACCCACAATCCAGAACAGATCATGTTTACTTCTAAAAGCACAGTATGTTCTGCTTGCCTGTAGTACACTGTTTCATATACTCTAAGCACGTGGTTATTGGGATTCTCAAATAATCTGCATCCATACATTTTATGCTAAATTTGAACACAGACCTCCTAGGGAAAAGCTGATTAACTTCCAGGTCCACAAGCATTGTTTCAACCACATAGTAGTATTGAAGATAACCATGGGAGGGAAGTGAGACAACCCCAACAGAGCAGAGCAAGGGAGTTACCTGGCAGTGCAGTGTGCTGGTGAGCATCTTCGGTGGGAAGCATCAGCAAGTACATCCAGAGAGTACAAAGGAGATAATGGATTGAACTGTAAAGTCAAGAGATTTTATTTAAGCAAAGCATTAAAAGCAAGAATCTTCAGGTACAGCCACTCAGATCTATTCCCTATAGTTGTTCATACAAGTATAAGGAGACCTTTCCGACACATCAAGGGTGAGACAAGGTGAGGACTGACTCTCACTTCAGACAAAAAGCAAGCACAGGGTGCAAATCTCATAACCATCTTCTCACAACAGACAGCGTTATAAGCATGCTCCTCTTTCAACTTAGATTATTAAAAATGACGGTCAACTTTGAGCATACTCAAAGTGTTCTACTGCTGCATGCCATAAGCAAAAAGTCTGCCTCCCGTTCATGAAGCCTATGTCTACCATCACATTGTAGAGAGAAAAGTTAGTTTCTTCCCACTTCCCACAGAGAAGTTCTGGTATTCTCTATGGTTGCATGGATCACTGAAACAAACTTCTAAAAGACTTGGGCCCACCAGGTTCAGTTCACAAGGAGCTCCCAATTCATTCCACAGCAAGTGAGCTCCTCCTCCCACTCCCAACCCACCTCACACGGTTTCTCTGCAAACTGCTTTAAACAGATTTCTCAAACACTGCAGAGTCAGGCTAGCCTTAGATCCTAAGATTAGACAAATCCTGAAAGCATTAAACCTGTGCAAAACAGCTTATTGTAGAAGATGCAACTCTGAAGTTGTTTTTCGTTTTAAAGGTCAGGACAGAAACTGAGTAATCTAGTCAAACAATGCATGAAGCAAACTTTGCTCAATATGCAAATATAAGGTTTAGACTGATAGTTTCTCTGGGGTACCTGCATCACACTTCCATTCAGCATTTACTCTTTATTCATAATTCACACCTAAAGCAGGAAATTAATTTCCATCTGCTTTGCAAAGTGCTACCCCAACCTCCAGAACACCTTTCTTGTATTACTAGGATTGCTGATGCATTTTAAATAAGGACAAACTAATAATCCACAGCTGTAGCAGACCTCATCATAAAAGCTATCTGCAACTCCAGAACTCAGTCCCAGGCCTTTACCTTCAACATTTCTGAGAAGGAACAGGCACTATGCACGACAAAGCTGCTGCTGACGGGGAGCTTCTCCTCAAGCTGGACTGTTAGTTTACTGTCAGTGAAGTAACACTGCAGCTGCACAGCAGGGGAGAATCACCAGTAAACCTCCGCAGTCAATTCAAGTTCAATTAAGAAAAACAAAAGTAATTTATTTTGGTCATTTTAAAGCTTATGTAGTTATCATTCTTCTCTTTAGCAATGTAAAAGCAGTATGCGAAATGCTCTCATTAACAGGAAATACACACTTGCACAAAGGCCTGAAAATTATTTCTTGCCATGTATGTACTTTTAATCACCTGAAGGAGAAAATGGATTTCAATCCTACTGCTCACAAGCCAAAAAAACAACTTGCAAAGGAACAGAAAGGGGCGTGCATGGCTAGGAACTGTGGAGTTCCGGAGCTATTCAGTTTAAACAGACAATATAATGCCCAAGACATGGGTTGTGTTCAAAGCCCAGAAGACATCAGTTAACAAAATGAGAAGGGACAGGGCTGCCTTACCTCATGTGCACAGGCCACAGTGTGCGGGAAATCGGAAGCCGGCACTTTATTCTTTCTAGAGAGAGGGAAATCAAGAAAATAAAAATGGTAGAGCAGAGTCAGCTTACCTGGTTGCGATCTCTCTTCCCCATGGATGGTAACCAAAAGCTGGAAGGAGGCAGAGTCAGAAGGACAGGAGGGAGCAATGCCAAAGAAGGAATAAACACAGGGGGCAGGGGATGGTTGGGGGTAAAGAGAGAAGGGGAAAGAACAAAGATGGAGAAAGAAGGAGAAAGATTAAACGTCAGCAGGACTCATTAAAAACAACGAATTACAGACCTAAGGAAGAAAACTGATACCAACACCTGGTGAAGGGTAGACCCACTGCACTATAGTTAAGAGTGCGGTGGGTTCAGCCTACATCCTTACCTATCCATTGCCCAACAAGAACAGCATTGGAGAGATGCCAAAGGATAGGCACCATAACTATTTTTGGTGCTGACTACGATTTAAATATGCTAATTGGGGAAGGAGACAGAACATCAGAGAAAGAGAAAGCAATTTTGTGGCTGCCTTGTCAGCATCATTTCTGCAGTCTGGGTATGTGCTCATAGCATGACTCCACACAGAAGCTTTATAAAAACCTAACATATAGGGCTCAGTCTTCTCATACTGTGCAGAAGATCTGCAGTTATTGCAACAGCACACTGTAATGCAGGAGGAAAGAAAAAGCTGACTGTAACCAAAGGGACATTTCAGCAGAGTCCATACAATAGGGTAGCCTTACAAAAGGAAAGTCAGCAATTGCAAAAAAGAAAACAGAGAAGCCAACAGTAGAAAACTGCCTCCCATTCCACCCATCACTGGATACTTAAATTACCACCCAGCTCTTCATTCCCTTCAGTCCCAGGAGGGAACTGTAGTTCTTCCACCCTTCCCAAAGTTCTACACAAGCTGTTAAGGGCCTTACTCTTTCTGGCGTGGATCACTAACAATATGACCTAGCCTCTCGGTGCCCAGAGTGCTCATGGAGGTCTCCTGAAACACAAAGACAGGCAAAGGGTTGCAGATTCTCACACAGTGAGTAGGCATAATAGTTTGCTGCTGCCAGTAGAAACAGATCTTACTCCCCTGGGCCACATCCTATTCTTCCCAACCCACTCTCAACTAAACATATTCATTCTCTCCTTTTAGATCCAAAATTGAGCTGATATAACTAATTAAAAAATAATTTTGTTTTATTGGTGGGGCTTGTTTTTTATTTTAGTGATAACGGTTGTACAGGGCACACCAAGGACTGGACCAATACAAAGTATGCAGCATAAGAATGCAGTCAATAACAAGGGAAATAACTGAGAAGTACTTATTTCCAGGTTGCTGGGGTCAGCTGGGCCAGAAACAAGCCAAGTGACAGGACATGACACTGTCATACTAAGGACAGGGATTCAGCAAGTACAGGTAAATGAAACTTGTTTCATGAATGAAGATTTTGCCCTTTCTGGAAGCAGCAGGACCTCTAGCAGCTAAAAAGGCAGGTCGAGCAGAAGGAACTTGCTCTGGGAACACACTTTCCCCTGCAGGACACTGCTCTGTGTATGTGTTTGATGCTGGCTTACACATACACACACCACCTAAAGCACCAGCTACTCATGTCTGCATAGCTACTACCTCCAAAAAAGAAACACAGTTTGTAGGAAGGGTCTGAAGATGAGGGTAAAAAGCTTTCACAGGTTAAGATTTGTTTGTGCCAGGCACATAGGCAAACCATACTCAAAGTCTGGGGGCAGTTGTAGCAGCAGGGGTGAAAGATGGGCTATTTGTTACAGCAGGAAAATTATTAACTTCAAGTGCCGTAATGCTTAAATTTACCGTTTATTACTGTGTAAATTACAAGCCATACTTTTGGTAATTAGCAGCTCGCTGGCGGGGAGCTTTGAATGAAACTCATTATTTATGATTACAATTTAGAGAGAGATGGGGAAGGGGGAACAGTGACCTCCGCTGTAAATGACAAAGATCCCTTTAAGGTGATGAAGATGAATTAAACAAGTAAATATTATCCTTCTCATTTGGATCATTAGAGGTGCTGCCAACAGACCCAGTCACTTGCAGGTGGCCTGAGGAACCCTACCCAAAGCAGGTCTCTTGCCAGAAGAGGATTCATATTTTAAATCTGATTACAACTAAGCAAAGTGAGTAGAAGAAAGAAGGGTCAAACAAGGATCTTTCAAGTGTGACTGAACAGACGGAAGAAGTCACACTGCTCGCCCCTCTTAACACACCTCGCTAAGAGACTCCCTGAAGCCAGTCAGTTCAGAACATATGCAAATATTTTCAAAAGCACAGAGCTTATCCGAAAAAAAAGCCAAACACAGCCAACATCTTCCTTCTCAGAAACATCTTTCACAAAAGCCAGCAGCACCTAACACTCCAAGATCTAGACCCAACCAGATGTATCCCTCCCTCTTCTAGACAGGCATCTACAAAGTATTGCTTAACTCCTTTAGAAACAGGACTAATATTTTCTGTTGTCTGCCCTACATATAATAAACGCAGTCAACAGCTTTAGGTAACATTGTCTGCAATACTGCATATACCCTTTATTCTTCTGTTTTTCCACTAAAAATGCAACTGCTAAAACCACCTTCCTTTGCTGCCATTCCTATCAGTCTGCTTCTCTATCAAAAATTTGGCTTTCCTTTACCTTTGAGTCACCTCTCTGTCCTTGTAGTCTCAAATTATGAGCACGCACAAGTCTTATGCCACCATCATTTCCCCTACATTGTCTAAAGCTTCTTGATATTTATGCTCCCTGTCATTCATCATCAGACCTCCTTTCATATTGCTTTTAGCACTGAACAACTGCCTTTGCCACTCCAAACCTGCCTTAAAATCCACTTAGTCACTCAATCGACTTCTGGCAGTCAAAGCAGTTAAACAGATCAAACAATACACGAAAAAACCTGTAAGTGGCCTCTTTCTGCAGAAAACAATTCACATGATATCTTGGAACAGTACTTCAGGACACATCAGCATTGGAAATACAAAATTATTATCTTGCAAAAGGTAATACCTTGCCAACAAGCCTTCTCCGACCTTTTCGGAGACAACGGGCAGCAGCTCCTGGAAGGCGATTCAGGCGAGCATGAAATCCTGAAAACCAAATCCAGAAAAACTGAGCAATGAATACAGAAGATTCTTCCTGACAAAACCACCAGGAAAAACAGTTCAGTGGTCAACTCAGATCCTCTGTCCCCAATCTGCAAGAGGTAGATATTCCCATTTATTCACAAATCAAATAACACCTCTACTAAAAAAAAAAAAAAATACCAAAAAAAAAGACTCAAGAATGTGGGCAGCTGCTATTCTAGTATACTCTCCAGTAGTGCAGATATTTCTAATTGGATCATGAAAAAAAATACATATCACTAGTATGCATTTAAATTGCAGAGCCTGTGACCAGAATCTATTCTTGCCATCATGTCAAAAGTTCTCAAACTCATGGCATTCCTTATGGACCTCACCTCTCTGAGCTGGCCGTGAGGGCAAAAGGAACATGGAATCCGAGAGCTTCTCCAGGCCAGAGTCAATACGTTCCACTTCAGATCGGTGGTCAGCTCCCCACTTGGGAAGAAGGTTGGGGACAGTGAATCCTGGAACACATTCTCCTTCATAAAACCAATCACTTTGCTCATCATCTCCTAAAGAAATGGGATGGAATTAGCCACAAGTAAGATCAATGTGCCCTGTGACAACCCCACAAAACATTACAGGTAGTATTCACATTTCTGGATGTGAAACAACTGAAGTCTCATTAGGAATTCCTTCCTGAAGAGCCTTATATTTGTATTCCATTTCAATGATCTGCAGTAACTATGGGGCCTCACTAAATGCTTTAAACTATCCAACTCATCAGTCTACAGAATTTCCCTATAGAACAAAGCCCTCTTTATAGACCTGCCTAGGGCAGCTTCAACACTGTTGTGACTGCATCTCATCAGCCTCAGTTCAATGTTGTGTGATGTCTTATGCAGAACTCTTTCTCTGAAGTAATTACTGTGACAGAGGTAGAGGCCAATCATTTGGCACACGTTATAGGCTGTCACAGGAGACACTTCGCAACAGAAGACCAGGCTCACAGAGCAAGAAAAAGAAGCATACTCACTAATGAGAAAGATCCCTAGTCTCCTAAGACAGCAGCTTAGAGGAAAACACACAGGTATTAAAAATGGTCATTCTGACTGTAAGTCCTAACCATGCTGTGAGTGTTTCTCCATCAAAATTTCTTATGAACTGTCAGAACTACAAACCTCTTCAAAATTAGAGCAGCAACAGAAGTCATGACCAAAGTTCCATAAAGCAGGGTCACTGTAATTAATGCAGCTGCAGTCTAAAAATAACTGCATCATTCATGGTAAATCTGCCTCGCCAGAAACAGAGAGCAGTAGTGCATGAGCAGCATAAGAAAAGAGCAAGAAGGTAGCAAAGACCCTGACTCACATAACAAACAATCCCATGTAATTGCAAGGTACTTCACATTGCCTTAAAAAAATAACACACCTGACTTGGGAAAACTCTCACCTGCCTACCACTAAGTCCCAAGTCAAGCATCTCCACCTACTCTCCTTTCCTCATGAAGTTATACTCTTTCTCACTGAAGTCTATTATGCATACCTACACATCTTGCCAGACAAGAAAAAAAACAGAAGAAAAAGAAAAAAAAGGGAAAAAAAGCCTCACCCTAGTAAGAATGCTGCAATCTTTCACATAACAGAAGAAGCAACACCCAAAGCCAACTCCAAGCAACAACAGGTAAGACAGTCAGAACACTTCTTCCCAAAGCTATGACATTGCTTTTTATTTCTGTGGTATGTCAGCTGACCTACCACGCTTGTAACAAATATATTTTAAAATATAAATATCCCTATCCATCTCATAGTAATGTTGGATAGTTAAGTGTTCAAAATTTGTGCAAAATTATCACAATTTTGGATCTACCAGCATAGCGCACCCTCATATCTCGAACCACTACTTTCACAAGACAAACATTAACAATTTGGTCATATGCTAATACATCCACTACGAGATATCACAATGCACCAAAATTTACCATGAAATTATAAACTAGGAGCATTCTCTGCTCACAGAAGTGCACTGGTAGCTAGAACTGCAAAGACAGCCTATTTAATTAACACCAGGACAAATATTACATGACGTAACCTCAAAAGAAGTGGAGGGGAACTACATTCAATTGAAGTACACTGCTGGCTTAAATTTCCTGTTATTTACTTTGGAATTGTACCAGAAAACTACTTCTAAGATGATGATCAATGACAAGAAACCCAAAACCTGACAGTTTTGTACTTTCTTCATCACACTGGAGAACTATTGTTTATTATTTATGACTAGAAATGGCCAAAAAAGGAAAAAAAAAAAAAAAGAGAGAGGGAAAATGAAAGGGAGATGGTTTTTATTTAACTAGAAAGTGCAACATTTTTTTATCCTTTTTAACGTAACTGCAAGCTAAAACATCTTATCCATAAAGCTATTACAATATAAACTGTTTGAACAGGGGCCTGATGGGTAGGATGTCACATCTCTTCTAGTACCTAAACAAGGGAGGCTGTAATTCGACTTTATTTATTTATTTAAGGAGTATATTCTATGTGCTGTATTGGGTATCCTACTTCCAGTAGCAGCCAAGAGTTAATATCTAAAACGGGGTATAAAACCAGAGCAAGTATATAGGCCAAGCATACAGACAAGTATATATATACACACTATCCAGTCTACATTAATCTTGTCCCAGGTGATGAAGTAAAAATTCAACACTTCAGGCACCACCCTGCTTCACCATCTGATACACAAGTGCTCACTAATTTCAGCCCCCCCCAGAACAGTCATCAGTAAAAAGAGAGGAGAAAGATTCGACTTTTCTGTTGTTTTTGAAGGACAGGAGGCTGGAAACAAAGGTCAAAGTTGTCAAGGCTGATATTTGAAATCCCTAATTTTCAGGAAAATATTATAGCCACCTAAGATCACAACAGATCAGCCCTACTGCCTAACATACCATCAGAAAACATGTAAGCATATTTGCTATCATTGTGTTGTCCTCACACACACATACCTGGGTCAGTAACAAGCTAGTAAAAGCAGCATCTCCTACTGAGTTATTGATATTACTTCCTTTAGCATTCATATATTCCCAGAAGATAACTCATCCAAATCTTAGCTTGTGAAATGAGGCAGAATCAGAATGCACAGCAGCAAAAGCTGCACAGAATTGCAGGTCTCTAGGGTCACATTCCACCTGCTCCTGAGTGCCTGTGTACCTACTACAACCTCTTTTCATTCTTACTTCTTCCATATTCCCCATGAACTGGACACTGGGCTGTCACCGATAAACAAAACAGACTACATTCCACACTCAAACCTCCTAAGAAACTATTTCTGCAACAGAAACTGAAAATACTAGACTCAACTAATGTACATAAGAGTAAGGGAGGAGGTATTTAAAGAAATAAAGCCTAACACACACTGTGGTCTTCCTAGCACAATCTGTTAGGTGACTTGTCAGTACTAACTGATTTTTTTTTCCACATCATCTCTCCCTGCTCATAGAGAGAAACAAACATAGTCTCTAACAGAATGCAGATAACAACTAAAACATGTATAGAAACAAATCATAAACTCTGCTCTTTATAAACAGCTCTTAAACTTCTCTTGTACTCCTGTGCCTTTCCATCATAATAGCTTCTTATGTTTCAAGTATTATTGATCCAATATGCTAACTATCTCAGCAGGAAGAGTGCACTGTTATCAACCTTTGTAGCCCTCAGCTGACTTCTTAACTTCTATGCCCTCCCAGCCACTGGCCTTTCTCCCATACTTCCTTCTCTATCCCTCCTCAAACACAGATCTTTTTCTGTATTTGTGAATAAAGTAAAAGAAATTCCCCATCAACACATGAGAAAAAACAGACAGTTGTTACCTTGACGGCCCTCATCATTGGTAAACAGGCCAGTATCACTGCTGCTGCATACACTGCTGGTTTCACTGGAACAAAAAACAGAAAACCCTATTGTTACAACTGCAGCAGATATAAAACAAAAAAAAACACTTTATTGCATTTTACTAGCTTCTTTGAGCCCAAAATACTCTAGCTATCTCACAAAAAAAAAAAATGCATTTCAGATAACTGGCTTGCTCTAGCATGGGGGGTAATTGCTTTCTGTTAAAATCTAGCAATGCTGCACCACTTGAAAAAGAATCCTGTAGCTAGTATAGTTCTAAGTTATCAAAAAGTAATTAATACAATGGCATTTGCCTCAGGTACTAGAGTTAATAACCTAACTATGACAGTGTCTGGAATACTCACTAGGAAATTAAGTGCAGCTAAAAACTCTGTCCTTGGGTCACTTAACAGCTAACTGAAAACCCTCTGAAGTTTTCTACTTCAGATTCCTTTTTCTCAAAATGTTATACAGGTACATAAACTTCCCCTTCAATCTATGGCAACTTTCATTTTATTTGGAGGGAAGAGTAGCTAGTACATTTACAACTCTTTAGCTAAATACCTTAGCACAGCATGACTTGCTGCTGCTGCTGAATGCGGCCTCATTACAGAACGCTTTCCATTTGCTGACGCAGTTACAAAAGACTTAATTCTTGAACCAAAGAATTAAACTAGAAATTAATGTGTAGAAAGCCGTTAATTGACTGTAAAGCTGGATGAATATCTGTAGCAGATGTACATGCTCAGGTCAGTCCCAAGCATCCGATGGCTTTAATGCTGATACTAAATCAATCTTTGGACTCTGAGCAATAATTCCTCTGGATTTAGTGGAGAGATATCAGAACAAGCAATGCCCATCCTCCAGCACTAAGGCCCTAGATGCAAACATCAGATATAACTCAGCACTAGAACCAATCTCTGATCAGGGCATGCTGTTAGAAAGCACCTCTGGGTCCCACTCTTTCAGAGAAATCGGATCATACTAAACACCAGTATCAACTGGATAGTCCTTGATTCAGAAAGCTGAATGATGAGCGTCCACAACATACGTCATCCTAAAGAACTGCAGGCAGCTAATAAAAACACATCTTGTGAGCATAATACTGCTCTTAGAAAATACACTCCAAAGCACAGCCAAATCAAATCATCATGCTGGATATCTACAAACTCTGCATCTTCATCATTGTATAAAGGCCATTTAAACCTAAAGGATGAACAGTTTGTACATCATTCCCACATTTTAGTATGTAAATTAATATAAAATTCCAAATCAATTCCTTACAAAGTCTGGCTATCCAGTCACCCTCCCACATATACACCACCGCAATGAAGGCCAAGGACTGAGAACCATGAGTCATTTGTTTCATTCCTAGCTCTCCTACCAACTCACTGTATGACCCTGGGCAAATCTCTTAGCGTTCCTGCTTTCCCTTTTGAAAGCCTGGATTAACAGTCCTCACAAGCAGCAGATGCGAGGATTGAGTGACTGCTTCATAAGGGTTTTAGCATCCTCAGAGGAAAGGTGCCTGAGAAAGGAAAAAGCATTGTCAAGATTCCAGATAGTATCAAGAGTATTTTAAGCATCCTGTTGTACTGAGAGCTCTCTAGTTCCCTATAGGTACACATTACTGCCAGTGTTTTATTGGAACAAACTTTCACAGATCTCACCCTCTTTACCACCCCTTTTACACTTCAGGGCTGAACATAAACTAGACTCCCACACAAGCCTCTCTGCAGGTCCAGTAAGCACTGATTAATGACCTCCACTTGCAAAGGAGGCTACTTACCTTAACCATGAAATAATGAATGCTATTGATTCGACAAGCTACTGCTATAGAGTGTTATTGATCACCCAATCTTTGGTTAAAATGGTCCTCATTTAGCAATTTCACTGTCGTAAACACCTGAAGCAAAGCATGCTTGTAATTAAATAGTTTGGGGGAGTTAAAGTGAGAGCTGATGGACAGAGATCTCAGGTTTTCCCCATTTATTCTTTTGCCTGAGCTATTGTTTGTGTCAGGAGGGATATTGATTTTCTATAAAAATAAGAAAACAAGAGGCACTGAGGGGCTGCAGAAGGTCAGTGTGGGCTGGAGAAGGAGGGGAAGCTGAATACTCTGTCTTTGTCACTTGCCTTCCAAGGGAGAGGAATTTTTTCTTTAGAGAGACTGACCTCCAATTCATCAGTTTAGCCAGGCTCTTGACTGCCACTGCAGGCTGTCATCGAAACAGCTCCCTTCCAAAGGGTAAAGAAATTACTTCACGCTCACGATGAGCACTGGTTATACTTCCAAGCCATAATATTGTAATGGTTTTGAGTGAGATAGTTAAATTTTCCTCATAGTACCTCATGGTGCTATGCTTGGATTTGTGACCAAAACAATGTTGATACCACACTGATACTTTGGTTATCGCTGAACAGTGTTTAAACAGTGCCAAAGCCATCTGTTTCTCACACTGCCCTACCAGTGAGCAGGCTGGGGGTGCACAAGAAGTTGCGAGGGGACACAGCAGGGACAGTTGACCCCAAATGACCAGAGGGATAGCTCATACCATATGGCATCATGCTCAGAAATAAAAGCTGGGAGAAAGAAAAGGGGTGGTTTGTCTTATCAAGTATCCGTTACACACAAAAGAGCCCACTTTCCTGGAGATGGCTAAACATCTGCCTGCCTTCTTTTGCATACCTTTTGCTTTACCTATTAAATCAACTTTACCTCAATTCACAAGTTTTCCCCCTTTTACTCTTCCAATTCTCTCCCTCACCCCACTGGGGGGGGGGGGGGGGGGGAGCAGGCAGCTGTATGCGGCTTAGTTGCCTATCCAGGTTAAAACACAACAAATACATCAGCATCAAGCCAGTGAAGTCACACAGCATTGGTGGGTCAGTACAGTCCCCAGTCACATTAGGAGTTATGGTACTTGAGAGCAGATTAAACAAACTGTGCACATCTCACTAGTAAGCACACCATTCCATTCACAGTGATTTTCTTCAGACAGCTCTTGCACTGTATTTTGCTCTGCCCTCAAGCCAAACCCAGACCATACTGGGAATACTCAGCTTAGACCAGCAACAGAAGGAACTTTAGTACTCAATATATAATTTGCCTTTGCTTTATTATGGCTGCAGGGAATCTCAAAGCATTAAGAGACAGAAGGGCAAGTTACTTCTAACAGTCTTAGCAGTTCATCATCACCTTTGTACAAATACACAAATGGCTACTTCAGCTAAGACCACTTGCTTCCTCTGTTGTTTCCAAAATCATTTACAGATCAGTCTTTAAGACATGTCATTACCCAATTTAGAATGACTATTGTTCCCTCCTCGTGTTCCTGCACATCCTTCCTTCTCTCAATTTCTGTTCATCTCCTGCCACGTCTGGCAAACAATTTCAAAGAATTCATTTTGTGAACACTTTGAATTACAGCTCTGCAGCGCATCTTCCTCCTGGAAAAGACTGGGCACAGTCCCACAAGCAAGCTAAATAAAACTACCTCATCATTAAGGATCTATATCCAAAGCTTCCTCAGTGAATGACAGTTTATCTACTGAATACAGTAGGGTTTTGATCTGACTTAGGATGAGGAGCCTTTGGAAGGCAAAGAAATGCTGGCTATTTTAGCATATACAGAGATTCGTTCCTATATAACAAAGAAAAGCAAGTGTCAGTAGAAGGGAGGCAAAAGGTGGTAAAAAAAAAACAAAAAAACAACCTGTAATTCTGAATATACAACTTAGTTTGCCTAAAACCACGTTAGTTCTGACACCCGCCACTGCTAGAGAAGTGAATAGTAGTGGAACCAGTTCAGTCTTAAAGTGTTTCGTAAATCACCAGATTACTACAAACTGCTTCCTGTCTTCCTGACTTCCACAAGCCGTATCAGTCACTTTCCCTCCCATCAACTGGGGATGACAACCATACCATTCACTCTTCTGAGCACCCAATTTTCTTCTCCCTTCCTCAGGATATTATGTCCTTACCTGTGCAAGGTACTTCTCTCATGGTAACATGACAAACAGCTAGACACAGCAAGTGAGGCAAACACAGCCAGTCCCACCCTGCTGCTACCAGCAGTGTGCTATATTTAGAGCAGCAGAGACCAAAGCATGATCCTCCACTGCCGTGAGGTATACTCTGCAGTTAAGAGGGTTGTATGTATTTCTCTCTCCAACTTTGACCCTCCCTAGTGAGTCACAGCACAGATCACACATGTGGTGTTGGAGAGGTCAAATATTCAACCCCTGGCTTTCCAAAGAGAATCCCAAGGCTTTGGCAGCTGATGGTAAATGTTATTTGATGCAGACACTTGCACAATAATTAGTCTGAGAGCAAGGGACAACTGAGACAGAACAAAGCAATCTCCCAGCATGGTCCTCAAGTAGGACAAAGCTGTTTATTTACTCTTTGAAAAGCTGTCACAAAGAAAGGCTGGATAAAAGCCTACTGGTTTAAGTTCAAGTTTGACATGACGGAACAGGCTCTGACTGGTGGGAGAAAAGTCTGAAGACACACTGTCCATCACTGCCACATCAAGTAAGAGTATCTCTCAGTCCATCACCACTGACATGCAACACTCATGGGTAGTCTGCACATTCCCTTTCCTGGACTACCAACAAACAGCTCTGAACAGACAGAAGTATTTTTAACAGCTAGTAGTGAAGAGGCATTGATTAGTCTCTTAAAAAGGCGCACACTGCACCTACTTTTTAATCAAACAGTAGCCACTTCTTAAAGAAAAAAATTACATCTTTGCTACTTCCAACCTGTGCAGGTTACATACAAAACACAGATTCAGTAAAAATGCAATAGTGATCCCCGAGATGAGGACAGAGAGGATGTATTACAACCTATGCTTTTCACAGGCTCCCAGAAAATACTGTTGAGAAGTTTGCACTTAAAGCCATTATCCACAAAGCCCTCAACAACCACTCATCTATCCTGACAAACTACAGGAGCTACTCAGCCACAACACTTAAGTGAACCTTAACCTATGAACAATTATACTGGATCACACAGTTATAGTTTCCAAATCCACTGTCCTCTGTCTGATAGTGCCCACTATAGTGGATGCGTGAGAAAAGAATATGAGAACATGACAAACACAGACCAGCTGTTTCCTCTGTATATTCCTCCAGGTTCTATCAGTCAGCAGTTTAAGGACTTCCTGAGCCAGATCTTCCATCTGGACTGTAATGCTTAACAGACTCTAGTAAACCTATGCTCCACATCCCCCTTTTGGACATACTTAAATTTTTTACATACTTAAATTTTTGACATCCAAAATGTCCCACAGCAGAGTTCCAAACCTTGTGTCTCATGAAAAAAAAAAACAAAAACAAAAAAATTGTTGTTTTAAATATTTCCTCAGTGTCTCCTGCTTCTCACACAATGATAATTAGCAAATAAACAACTTCATTCACTTTCTGTATTTCATTCATTAACAAATCTCCTCACTTTGATTCTCAGCAGTTGTTTCTTTTCTAACTTGAAATATCTTTTGTACAGAAGCAGGTTTATAACCTCAAACCTTCTATGGAAACAATAAAAGTCACACTCCAGGGGAAATCTTCCCAAGAGCAACACAAATTCAGACCATGACATCTACACCTCTCATTTTCATCTCTTGTATGAGATTCTGACACAAATTCAAAGGTCTCCAAAACTGGACACAAAGACATGCCAGACTCCATTGTTGGCACAGCCTTATACTGGTACGCTTCCCCCAGATTTCATTGGCTTTCTACATTTTTCCTATAGCTAGCCTTTCAAGACATTTTTCCAGATCCAGAGCTCAGACGGAGAACTGCAAACAAGATGTTTCGACTGAGGTTCACACAGTACCTACACAGAGGGCTAGTGGTCATGATGGGAAGAGATCTGATCTGTTTCTATTATAACTTACAGTAAACTCTGAAAACAAGAAACTGAGATCTGCTCGTATCAATCACACAACACAAGTGCCAAGGGTGGATTTACTCTCCAAAACTCAGTTCACAAGCATGCCACTTTGCAGCTGCAGGGCCATAAGACATTTCAGAGGGCTGCTTGTGTAACAGGAGCCAAAACCATATTGACTTGCCAACTTTTCAAGGAAGCATTTCGGGTCAGCAGTACAGCATTGACAGGAAAGACTTGGAAAAAATTTGCAGTTTAGAAGTAGCAGAGATATTTCTCCTCTTCAAAAAGAAAGCAGCACTGAATAATTTTGATAAGAACTTCTTAAAAGCAAGGCATAGGATTTTACAAGCAGCTGCAAGCAATGCAGCCAGTCTGACAAGCACAGGGAAAAAACTGAGATCTCACCATTCTGACATGTTTTCATCTGAGCCCTGTTTCTGTTCACCAGCTTCACACTCCATCCGCTCCTTCCTTCCCCCTTTGCTGAGGAAGGGCCTGTTCTCTCCTGATTCACAAAGGCTGTGACTGGATGATGTCCAAGGGGCGTTTTCTTTCCAGCGTGAAAGACGCTGTTTCTTGGCTGATTTGAACCTGCAGCCCCTCTCATAACTCCATTCTGACACCCTAAGCTTTTGCTGGAGACTGGCAGCCACCTCCGATGTCACACGTTTGACTTTCCGTCGGCGCCTGAGAGGTCGACAGGGCGCGTTCTCTGTAAAGGAATCTGACTCATGCCATGAGTGTTGCTTGCTTCTCAGGGTGGCATTAAGAGCAGGGTGTCGTTTGACCACCCCTGTGTCATCAGAGTCACTGAAATTGGCTGTCAGCACCTCACGGCAATCCTTGACAGCTTCGTCCAAGCTTGACTCTGAGGCCTCGCTGAAGCAGCAGGCATGCTCTGCCTGATGCGTGAAGTCTGAGCGGCGTTTACGACCCCGTCTCTTGCGAAGCTGACGCCGCTGTTGCCGTGGGCTTAGGGCCATCTCTTCCCATAGCTCATCCAGCTTGTTTTGTTCTGAAGTCTGCTCTAAGGCTGAGGCCAAGTCATGCACCAGTTCATCCATTGGCAATGTCTACCAAAAGTGACAACAAACAATTAGCAGCAGGCATAAATGCTGCTACCAGCACACCACTAGACTACAGTATACTACAGCCTTTGTAACATTAACCAAGTTATGTACTTACTTTGGAGTTGTCTTGGAGACCCCAATGCAGGACAACTGATGCTTCCTGGGCTAATGCTCACTCCTTCCTTTTGCAAGCATTATAACCCTCTTCTAACCATGGTAGCAGAGATCTTGCTACTGCAGCAGTTGGGTCAAGTGCTCTGTGTCCAAAGAGGCCTTAATGTTGCATCTTTTACACTGAAGCAGCAGGCTCTATTACACATCTTAAGGGTATCGGAGCCTACAACTACCTGGTGTCAGTAAGCCACAGAAAATGGTTAGCCTGCTCAGCAAACAGACCAAGTCTTCCAAAAAAGAGACAAGCAGCAAAGCTGAGTAAAACATACAGTAAAAAAGGTAGTTTGCAAAACATCAACAGCAAACCAAGGTGTAAGACCCCACACTCCTTAGAACAGGGTGTATGAAACAGAGCCCCAACTCCTACTGCCAAAAAATCCCACCTCTTCCACCTCAGAGCTGTCACTGTTCCAATCCCAAAGTCTTGGCCAAATCCCTCACGTCACAACCTTCCTCTCCCCACCAGTGAGCTGCAGACGTGGAATTTCTCTCCTCACGTCCCACCGGGCTCACAAACACCCACACCCTGGTGAAGCACCTGCTGCCGCAGGCCGCCTCCCTTACACCGAACGCCCTCGGAGACCCGGCCACCACACCGTCTCCCTCCCCTAAGCAGAAGACGGTATTTTTACCGAACAATCCTTGGCCCTACTGGGAAACCCTACCCACACCGACCCACCACCGGGCCTCACCCCGACCCCACTCACCGGCCAGCGCCCCGCTCCGCCAGCCCCGCGTCAGCGGCGCTTCCGGCCTCACCGGGCCACTTCCTCCCCGTCCGCCCCGCCTGAGGGGCGGGTCTGGCGGCGGCGGCGGCGGTTGCTGCGGCGGGAGGGGTTGGTCTCACGGTCGGACCAGCGCTCTTCCCTCGGCCGACGGCAAGCTCTCAGCTGCTGCGGCCGTTCTCAAACGGCTCCAATTCGGTGATGGGACATTAGTTGTGTGTATCAGGATGGAAAACAACTCCTAAATTAAACCTCACAGTGTTACTCCCCTCTCCTTAAGCCTTGCACCTCTTTTCCTCACATCAGTCCAGTTTTACGCACCAGAGTAAAACCAGGCGTGACCCTGCCACTGCCCAGTTTTGCTTATCATTTCCTTTTATTTCCCACTTTCCATATGGGCTTTTGGATTTTTTTCTTAACCCAGGTGGCTGCACACTCGACACTGGTTCATTTTTAAAGTAACATTCTCTGAGGCAGCGTATCACAGGCTTTGCCAAAGTCCAGATATATTACGTTTGGGGTGTTGTCTTCACTAATTCTGTAAATTCAATCAGAGAAAGTAATCAGGTTGTCTGACAGGATTTGTTCTCTACAAATCTGCGCTGCTGCTTATTGCTCATAGATCTCTTCTCCTTTGTTATCTTTACATTTTTTCTGCTTCTATTCCATCATGTCACCAGGAACAGAAGTTACTCTGAAAGGGTGATAATTGCCAGAATCACTGCCTCCTCCCCACTTGCCCCCCAAAAGACTAGCACAGCGCTTGTTTTTCCTCAGTCCTCTGGCACCCTCCCTAGTTCGTCAAGATACTTAAAAAATCACTGAATCCTTGAGTTTGCCATTGATTCTTACACCCCAATAACACAGCCATCGTTTCCCTTCACCGAGCTTTCTACATGCGTTTCTTTAACTAGTCCTTCATGTCAGCCTGAGCTGTCATGTTAACATTTTCATTACCTTTTAGTTCTCTGCAAAATTTCTTTGAAAAAGAAATAGTAAAAGAAGAAAAACAGTCATTAGGTAGATCATGTTTGTCCAATTTTCAACAGCTGACTTCATTTAAGTTGCTTTCTGCACACAAATTTGTGTAAAATTCTGTTCTTTTGTCTTTTAACCCTTTCTATGGCAGTAACTCATCCTACTTGCCTGCGGTATTTCGTTTTCTCTGTCAGTTTCCTATTTCCAATCCAGGGGTTTTCTTTTTACTCTCAGATCTGAGAGCCAATCCCTCCTAAAATCTAACCCTGTTTCACCACTGCAATCCTTTTTCATGCTTCAGGATAAAAAACAGCTACAAAATGTCTGGGTTAGAGAGAAACTCCCCTGATGGGAAGGTTATTCTGTAAACATCCACTTCAGAGCTTCTTACCCCTTCATTTCAAGCCCTTGGTAGTGGCTGCCATTCCAGGCAGGATAACAAACCAGACAAACAATTGTGTACAAGAAATCCTGTGTTTGGATGTCCTGGGGAGATGGCAGCAGATGCCCACTCTATTACTTTACCTTCATTTTCCCAACTAGTTCTCTGCTGTTTCTGTCAGTTAACAAACTGTTTGGCAACTGCTATAAATTTTACTTCACCTTTCCAATTTTTTGCCATTTTCAACACTTCAAATTTCAGCAGACGTTGGCAGTGTTCAACCTGAGTAAGACGACAGACTTGTGTGCAAGGTTGGTTTTCTGAGAGAGGAACCGGGCTAAAGCAAAAGACAGGGCAAAGCTGCTTTTGCAATTGCAAGAGTTCCAAGAACTAAAATGAGCATTTATGTATACAGGGAAAAATCAGAAAATTGGGAATAGGAATTTGAGAAATATAACAGGGCAGTTGGGGTAATCCAATGTTGAACAGTTTATGGTATTTCTGTCCTCTTTTACAAGGTTCACTCTGACATGGGCCAGTGACCATAAATTTTGAATCCTTGCCTGTATTCAGCTTCATCCTGTATCCCTGGCAAATTGCTCTCTGAGCAGTTTTGAGGTTCACTGCATGGACAATGGGAACCGGCCCATCTTCCCAGGGCTAGTTTTGCAGGGGAAATATGCTACGGATACAAAATGTTCAGCACTCTTGCCCAACTGGATTGCTTTCTGTCACTGGACTTTGTACATACAGTTTGTTTTTTCTGCCCAGAGGCTGTGGTCACCAGTGCTGAACTGTTGCTGGGCCTGGAGGCAGGAAAGGAGATATTAGTGGTGAGGGACGCTTCTGAGGTAAGCAGGAGAGGAAGCTTGGCTGTATGCAAGCAGCGTGTCATGGCAGAGCCTTTGCCAAGCTTCCTCCCTGGCGGACAGCAGGAGAGGTACAGCCCAGCACGACTGGGAGAGTAGAAGGGTCATTGCTCTACCCCAGCAAATGCTCTGCCTGGTCCCATGGTGCTTCTCAGCAAAAAGGGTTAAAAGGAAAAAGAGAGAGACAGAAAGGGGACAAGAGACAAAGGGAGGAATAGAGTCAAAAAATGTGCCGTGAAGCTTCTTGCAGCAAAATGCGGAGAAAGTCATTTCCAACTTCTTTCATCTCGGAGATGAAGCCACTAAATAAAAGGGCAGCGCAGAACACAAGGGCTTTTAATCTGTCTCATCTCCTTCATAATAACTGCAAATTTTCCCTGGGCTCCTGGGAGTGAGCCTCTCTCCTCTGTCTTTGCCTTATCTCCCCCCTCCATATTTCACAGCCGGCTCGGCTCCCCTCACTCGGCTGCCCCCGGCCTAGTCTCTGAGAGGCCTGTGGGAGCCGCCAGCTCCCAGGGCCTCATTGTTCCCGGCTTGGGAGGAAGCTCAGGGAGGGAATTGAAGGCAAGTCAAAGGGAAACGGCATCATCGCTGCTTCATTAATGGGAACCTTTCAGCAGAAAACATATCAGAACGAGGTCTTTTCAGAGGCAGTAATTAGCAATTTGGAGCCTTCCCCCCTCAGGAGATGCAGCTGCGATCTAACAAGTGGGAGCAGTGCTCGCCTCCTTTTACACTTCATATTTATTGTTTTTCATTTTCTCCATCTTCCTCCCATTGTCCAGCCTCCTCCTAGCTTCCAGATAAGGGCCCTTTATTAATCACTCCCTTTTAATTCTTCATTAATGATAATAACTTTCTCTGGTGCATGGAGAGGAGTTAATCTTTCCTGGGTATTGAGAAAGGACAGGGCTGAAAGGGAAGGAATGAAGAAGTGCATGGTGGACAAGGCTATACTGCCATGTTTCCCTCCCACCTCACCACCCGGAAGGAGTTTCTGAAGACTTTGGCTGTCGAGCTGACATTGGAAAGTCTCAGGCTGTCAGTTCGGTCAAGCTGGTGGCTGTACCCTGGCTCAGAGATGCAGTCCTTACCAGAAACAGGTGTGCTAGAGGGAGAGACCTTCTCTGCATGCCTTTGCCAAAAAAAAAAAACCAACCCAGTATTGATGTGACTAACAGGTTGTGTCATCTTGTAAGAATGCTCCCTCAGACACCTTCAAAGCCCCGTTTCCCAACTGCCAAGGCTGCCCAAGCTTAAACAGCACCTGAATGTGGAAATAAATGGTATCTGGGAGGCCCTGCACAGCTGCACAGGCTAAGACCCTCCCTGGTGCCTCCCCCAGCCACTAGGACAGTGTGCCTTGGACTGCTCCCGTCTGGAGGTGCCAGTTCACCAAGATGGACATCTGTGTGAGGTGGCTGCTGCCAGGCCTGTTCAGCACAGGCAGCCCAAAGACAAAGCTGAGTGAAGATGGCAGGGAGGGGAGGAGGCTGTCATGCAGGCTGTGGCCATGGGTGTGGGCCTACAATCAGTGAATACCAGCCCCAAAGACATGCCTAGGGAGGACGGTGCCACAATACCTAAGATGACTTAGCTTCTTTAGTAAAGTGTTTTGTAGCACTGGCTTCATGGGAGCCCCTGCTAGTAAAGGCCATGCAACTTATCTTGCTTTCTAATGGTAGCCTCAACCCTTTCTGGGTTGCTTGGTGTGCCACTTCCAATTAAGAATATTTTATTACTACCAAATATGAGGAAAAAAGGGAAGTATGCGACTGTTACCAGGATAGGTGGCTCCAGAACCTCACTGAGGATTGTCAGGTTAGCAGCAGTGGAAAAGGCTGAGGGAAGGGAACAAAGGCAGGAGCCAGAAGAACCAAGGAGAACCCAGGAACTTCAATGAAGGAGCTCAAGCTCATCAGTCAACTGCAGAGACAGCTCTGTGGCTGGCTTTTAGGGCTTACGGTTTGCCAACAGCATCTCTGCACGAGGGCAAAAGACTTGACATGCATAAAGCAAATGGAAGAGGTTTTCACAGCTAACAGCAATAAATTGAATTTGTATTTTAAACCATGCATTCTTCTTTAGACTCACCAAAAGAGATCTTCTCTGGTCTAACCCTGCAGGCCAGCAAGGTCTGTCAAATCACCTCCTCCACCCTTGCTGGCCCACTAGTCATAGATGCTTTGCACCTCCTGGGACTGCTACCTGCCTTCACATGTCTCGCAGAGGATGGGCAAAATCTGCATGGTGGAAACAGAATGTGCTGAAGTAAGGGAAGCCAGGAAGTTTGT